CAGAAACAGTTCCCTGTGCTCCGCAGTGCTCTGGGACCGGAGAAAGTGGCACGGCAGCTAAATATAGAGTGGCCAAGTCACGCCCACACAACGACTGGCACGCAGAAGACAGTGAAGTAGAAGGAGAGGAACGCTTTTCCGAGTGCGCGATTAAAAAAAAAAGACACAGGTGGAAAAAGGGGGGAAATTAGTGACAACGTGACGTGTCTCGTCGTAAAATCACATTCTTGTTTGCTTCCCTTTCTAATTAGGCCCCGAAGATGGACGTGCACAAAAATAACAGTAGTTTGGGAGATATTTATGGGAATCTTATCCTCGTGTTTACGGCGGTGCTACGATGGGGTTAGCGGTTTATGTGTAAGCTAGGAGGAGGGAACGCGGTAGTGAACGGTAAATAATAAATAAACATTAAATAACGACGGTGGAAGTTACAAGTTCAGAGTCAACGGCTTTGATGACCAAAAAGATGACAGTGATGTATATATCTGTACAATCCATCCTGTAGGTCCGTGTTTCCCAAACTTATATTTTCGCAAACCTTCGCGACCCAAGTCGATAGACATTATTCGTAAACTCCTGGGAAACATGAAGCGAAACGACCCAAAAAACCCCCCCAAAAACTCTTGCGACCCACCTGAGGGTCGCGACCCAATCTTTGGGAAACAATTCTTTAAGTCGTCCTACGAACTTCTTGAACAATTCATGTTGCGCTAGTGAGAATAACAAAAAGCAAAAAAAAAACAAACGAAAGAAAACGATCTCACTGTAGTTTACAAAATAACCGCCGCTCACAAACACCCACCCCAGTTTTTGGTCGTGTACCTGCCAGTTGGATAAGAGCGGAGCCAGTCTGGGCATATCGCCAATTATGATTGGTTACCAGCAAGTCATGTTAAATGACACATATTAAAAATATAGGGAGGCGGGGGGGGGGAGAAAGGCTGATATGTTGAAGGAATTCCAGTCCACTCTGGGTACGGTCACAGCATTTAAGGCTAATCCCAGGATTCCTGAGGGGAGATATTCCAAACCCCTGATCGTTCTGCTGTTGTCTTTAGCATCCACATGGAAAAGCTGCCGCGAATCTTCCAAAAGGCGGTAGTACAGTGTCAGTGGGAACTATTTCGGTGGCTGCGAAGCATGATGTGGATAAATTTGCCTGCAGGGCATTAGCTGAGCTGCTAATCTGCTTGTCTTTTGGAGAGGGAGGTTCCCGATGATCCTCCTTACTGTGAAGAGGGTGGAATGATTACATGTGCAGGCACTGCATATTAGTAAGCTTCCTGAAAGGGAGATAGACGCGAAGTAGACGGGGTAATCCATACAGTTGAGCAGAGGCTCTATCTGACATGGATCTACATCACGCTAGGAATACGTGTTAGCTAATTCAACAGTACGGTCCCTTAGATCCCATCAGAAGTCTTTGCATTGGTCTTATTTTGATCCACTATAACAGGGCTATATGAACCAATAGTTTTTGATCCACTATAACAGGGCTATATAAACAAAAAAGTAATATTAACATTTATTTAAAAATTGGTTTACTAACCCATGTGTCAAACTCAGGCTCAGGGGCCAAATCAGGCCCACGATGTATTTATTTTTGGCCCGCGAGATCATATCAAATGTGTACTAGAGTTGACCCGGTATATAGGTCCTATATACTGGCAGAATTTTCAGTATTAGCGGCGTTTGCGCTACATTATAGCTGTCGGCCTGTTAAAAAAGATTTACATTAAAAAGGGAACTGGAAAGGCTACAGATGATGTCACATCATAAGAACTGATTCCATTGATGATTGACTGATTGATTGATTAATAAGTATGACGAGTTAGCCTACCATCGACAAGCTGACTGATGTGAACGCAATTGTGAAATGACTTGCGAGGTACTGAGGAACACTTACGAATGTTGACAATAATGGCCGCACAGGTGTGCTGAAAACGTGACGAGTAGATTTGCGTACCTGTAGCAAAATCAGGTGACTTGGTGTTTGATCGAAACCAAGAATTTACTTAGAATATTTAAGAAGATATTGCGCGTGTACGTGCGTGGACGATTTCAACCCGGTTCAAAAATTAATCTGAGCAAATATCAAACGGGTTATTACCTTGTTCAGGATGTTTGCATTCAAGATGTCATCAGAGTTCATGAGTAATCCCGTGTATTATGCAAAATTAACTTAAGTGATTCAAGAACGCGGTGAGCATGTTCACCAAAGAAGCATCCCCGTTGAATGAGTGCGCTATGAAAAAAAAAAACGCAGCTGAACTTTTTTGAAAGATTTTTAAAACTTCAGCAAAATGTGGGTGGGAGAAAGACAGCTATGCTGTTACACCCCTCTGTGAGAAGGGGCACGAGACGACAGGAGTGGAAATACTCGTCGCCTTTTGCTTAATGGAAACGACCGCAAACAAACTCGGATATTTCCAACGTCGCGGCTGCGTGCGCGCGTGGAAAAATACGTCACGGAAGCGCTAGGCTTGTTGGGGCCTTCTCGAGGTCGATTGGGCGCTAGATCATCGGAACGCTGTATGACGTTCCCTCTATACGTTCAACATTATAACAAATATCTCAAGGAGCGAGGCGTGGGTTTTATTGGAAGAAGAAAAGAAAAAAAAAAAACGAAGGGAATGCAACAGCTGCTCAGGCTGTGGCAGATGGGATGGGAGTTGATACGGGTGGTTATGGATCAGTCGGTGTGGGGAGGGGGAAGCAGTCTTCACGCCACTGAAATACTAAACACACACTCACACACATATACACCAGATCATCCCTATCGGAATAAAATGTAGTCCCAACTGTCCCGCCAGTTGACGAGGACACACAGCTCCTGACCCAGCTGTTATGGGTCAAAGGAAACCAGAACTGCGCACATGTGTGTGCATCCCGCATTCGCGACATGACAGGCATTCTTCGCGGAGAGATGTGTGGGAATGGCAGGAATTCCTCGAGGCTGAGGGAGTGGACAGAAATAGGACGCCCATGACCTGGACCCATGACATATGTACTGATCAGAGACGCTCTTACGCAGCCTGGCAGCAGACACTTATTGATTTGTGAAATTTGTCGTTGACCGGAAACAGAAAGGTCTCAGAGCTGGTTTTGTCTTCCGACATGTCGTGTTAATACACAGAGCCATAAAAGTAAAAGACGACGACGATGACGACAAGTTGACAAAACCCAAAGTTATTAATCATTCATTTTTTTCATTTCCAAGAGAGGAGTCATTTTCTGCAGCCCGAGAGGAGGTGGGGGACAATTACTGACAACGCAAAAATCTGACCTAAATATGTAGATGCCACATCCGTAAAGACAAGGAAACGTTACAGCAGCTACGCAGTTGTGTCAATGTGTTTTCTATATTAAAAAGCCTCAAAACGCAAGGACAAAAATAAGACAGAGAATTGAGAAACAGTAGAAGCAGTATTACAATCTGGTTGGTTCTCAGTGGTGCTTTTCCAAAAGTGAATGTGACGAATTATTGCCAACATTGTTCATTTTAAGTACAAAGCCAGATAAAGTTAGAAGCGAAATTAAATATCATATCCAAGGATGGAAAATTATTAAAAAAAAAAATATTTTAATAGCTTTGCTTCTATTCATGTTTGATTATTTATGGCCTCTGCAGGACTGTACTGAAAAATGTTGAACTTTCTATCTATCTATCTGGTTAGCTAGCCAGCTAGCTATTTATCGATACATCTATCTAGTTAACTAGCTATTTAGCCATCTATCTATCTATCTCGTTAGTTAGCTAGCTATTCATCCATCTATCTAGTTAGCTAGCTAGCTATTTATCTATCTATCTATCCATCTATCTATCATAATACCTCACTAAAGCTATTTGTTTCACTGTAGGAGAACTAATAGAGAATTCTGTGTCAGGCTAATATTAATACTGCAATAAATATTATTATAATGCAACATAAAACCAACAACATAAATAATTCAACAGTGCGGTCAGGCTCCTGGTCCTGACCGCAAAGACGTGTTGTGTCCTTCAACTTTCCTTAGTTTGTCCCCAAAACTGAGATTCGGTCTTTGGGAGAGAAAATAAGAAAAGCACTACTTCTCAATAATTTCTGCCTTTCTCTGTTTTCTCAATTCATCCAGACCTCTAATAGCAGGGTAGACTAACCGAGCAAAAAAACAGGCCAGGGTTACCACAGCGACCCAGACACAGCAGGAGAGGAGTGGAGGAGGAGAGGAAAGAGAGGGACAAGAGAGAATAAAAGCTTTGGTTTGGTGCAAAGAGTTCATTTGTTTGGGGTTTTAACAGTTTTATCATAGTTTGGACAAATCCAGAAGAAGAAAAAAAACAACATGTTTTAATGTTGTATACAAGAAAAAAGAAAAAAAAAACTTTAAAAAAATGACATCATTCCAATCTCTACTCCTGCAGTTCAGTCTAACGCAGCTCTGTCCCTTGAAATCCTGTACTGCAAGAAGGCGCCCTCTGGAGGTGATACAGACATTACATTTCAACTGGTAACTGATTACTGGAGATTTACAGTGATTTAACTACCAGGCAGAGGGGGAGGTGGACGTGCAGGCGGTGTTACTAATCGGCAATTCCACGGTATTCGCTCCTAGCTCAGCACTCTTCAACACATCTGTCATGGTCCAATGTCCATTAATATTGTTACATAACCAGCACTGTCCTTTCCTTTCTCAGCCAGCCAGTCACACCAGTCACTAAAGATGTCTTGAATAAATACCAGGTCTAATTATTGTCCTGTCCTAGCCTCAGTTAAGGCAGATATTAATGCAACGAAAGGTACTGTACAACTTCTTGACATTTCTAGGCCATTGTTATCGATAAGGTTGACCAAGTAAGCAGTTGTTTGCGACATGGTTTTACCTGCTATCTGACTCGATACGTCTCCTTTCGGCTCCTTAGAAAGGGATACATCTGTAGAAGAGACAAAAAAAAAGAAAAAAAAAGAAAGAAAATTATGAACAACTCCGAGACATTCAGATTTCGTCTTTTCATGTTTTGAGCACAAAGGGTGAAGGGAAAATATATTTTTTCAGAAATGTCCAAGGACAGTTTTAAAATATGTATTTGTGCCATGATAAAAAACTACATAAAAACAAGGAATATATTGGAGACTTCATGTTTTGAGCACAAAGGGTGAAGGAAAAAAGGTACAATTTTAAAATATGTATTTGTGCCATGATAAAAAACTACATAAAAACAAGGAAGAAAATAAGCTGCAGTGAATATATATAATATATTGGAGAATGTGAGCACACAAAGATGATCTGTTTTTTTTTTCTGTCTTAAAAATCAACATTTATTTAGTTTACAGCTGTACTTGCGAATCTCAGTGACTTAAAAGGAGAACAAACTCAACATTTTTTTCCAGCATTTTTTCAATGAAAATAATGGTTTAAAAAACAACAACAGAGGCATGAAGATCTTTATAGGAAGAACTCTGAACTCGGATTTTTCAGAATATTAACTTGGCCATGTTGGGATGATGCCTGATTTTTTAAAAACACTAAGGAAGCTGTGACTGTGCCAATACTGTTCAAAGGTTATTTGTTAATTAAGTAATCATGTCTATATGTGTATAAATACTGCATTTTATTTTTGTTTTTATTTGTTTTTTTCTAAGTTTTTTTCTAAGAATGAGAACCTGAGACTTACTGCAGGGCCACAGAAACGCAAACCCCGTAAAAATGCTAACAGTTGCATTCTTATGATATCTCTGTGTTTGTATTTATGCAGATATGGGTTTTAGGAAAACAAAAAAAATCTGTTTTAATCGATGTTATTTAATCACACTGAATGAGTATTTTTTTTCCATTTCCTATTCAGTAGAACAATAGATGTCTCTTCAGAGGGCTATGATTTAGCAACACATGAGAGAAACTAGCAGTTGCTGCCGCTGCCACGGGGGGGTTCGTAATCACGGGAAACGGTTCTCCGTCACAAACATGTCAATGGAGAGAACAGAGGTGAGCCGCGTATGGAGACATGATCGTGATCTCACGGGAGCGTTATTTAGCCAACAGAACTTCACAAAGACGAATGAGTTGAAGGGAAAAAGGGAAGGAAAACGCAAAGCGACGAGAGAACCAAAACAGTCACATACTTCACATATTTGTAATGCCAAGGATGTTGACTCAAGCCAAAGTATCCCAAAAAACCCTAATGCCAGACTGGAGTGTTGGTTCCCCACATCTTATCACAATCTAAACAATATGTCTGTTAACCGAAAAGCTGGAAATTATACAAGCGTGCTACAAAAGGAGGTTAAACGCAACGTGTACCCCATTCATACACACACACACACACACACTGATACTCATAAAGTATTCATTACTGCAGTCTCTCATTTATGGAATGTTGCCACTGAACAGCTAAATCCAACGGCACACACGGAGACCCGCACCGGCACCATGTCCAATTTGTTCGAGACCATGGAAAGATAAGCTGGACTTGGATGTTCGGCTAAAGCTAACAAGCTTACACACAACTCAAGAGGTGCTGGGGGGGCGGGGGGGTCACACAACAGAGCAGACATTCAGTGGGTCCCAGTCCTAGAAAATGTTTTCAACTCACCTCTAAGAAGCATGCAAACCCTCAACCAGAAACCCTCCTTCCCCTCCTCCGCTCTGGTGAACACTGTACACCGTACACTGAACCCAGCCTGTCTCCACAGACGGCTCTCTTGTCCCGACAAACTGTTTCTGTATCACAGTCCGCATTAACACAAAACCACCCTTTCACTGGGCCCCTGCCTTCCCCTTCTCGGCAGGCACACTCATCGTTTGACTCACAAAAAAAAACGAAAGACCCCTTAACATTTAAAATACCAATTGTCTGGCTCACACTGACTGAAATAAGGTGTGAGGCACAAACACAATGAGCAACAGGCAGCTGTCAAAGCCGTCCACGAGACAAAAGCGATCTGTGCGGGTTCGGCAAACACGTCGAAGTCAAGGATGGACAAATAACTCATCGTGAGCGGCTTACTGTGGCTGGAGTCGACAACGACGGAGACGAAAACAAAGACACAATGAAGCTGGGAGGATGCATTTGGACAGTGACCCTGAACTCGTGACTCAGTAGAAGTCAACCGAAAGGTCAGCGGGGGGTCGAGGGACAACTCTTTTGTTTCTGAGTCTCACTTTTGGTTTGTGTTTGTTGGACACGGAGACTCTGTTCTACTGTGCTATATTCAGTTTAGCATGTAGCTCAGCTTAGCTCCCTGCCCCGTGGCTGGTACCTTTTAGCATTTAGAAACCCCTGCCACAACATTGTAATTACATCATGCAACAGTAAAAGTAAATACTTGAGTATAAAAGTATTGCCGAAACCGGCTTCGTGTTAGTTATTACCCCAAACATGGCAACTCCACTGAAATAAAGTGCAACATCTCAAGACACCAAATGTTCAGATACAAACTTCTACTTCATTCTATATAAAGTTGCAGCGAGCAAACAAGAACCTGCGCAGCTAGCAATGACTAAAAGCCCCTTTATACATTATAGTCTGACTTAGAACCTGCGCAGCTAGCAATGACTAAAAGCGCCTTTATACATTATAGTCCCTGTCTGACTTAAAAGGAAACTGTTAGGAGTTAAAACGAATAAGAAAGTGCCCTTAAAAAAAATTCTATTCTATTAAGGTTTTTATTAGTCTGTAATGTCTGTTCTGGCATGGAAGTCAATTACTTATGACATTTAAAAAACTGTTTGTGTGTAACGCCAACTTTTTAAAGCAGTAACATGGGTCCTTGCCAGACCATCTGATATTAAGGATTATGGATTTTTTTTTAGATGAGACAGAGCACTCCCGCTAGTTTCCTGCCTTAAAAAAAAATAAAATAAAAAATAAAAAATAGCTGATAAACTGATTGGTCAGTGGACTTTTTGCTAAATTATGCAATTGATTGAATAGAAATATTTCAAATATATTACGAGATATTTAGCAGTTTCTTGAGAGTCAAGGGTTTCTCTGTGACCTAAGTGCCCTGTGGCTAACTGTGCTATTGGCTGCGATCCTAAGAGGAGATCAATTGACCTTAGTTTCTGGACTTTAAAAAAAAAAAAAAAAAACAGTTAAAGAGAAAAGGCAAATGAATCAGATGGGGGGGGGGGCAGATATGAGACAGCAGTTTTGACTGCACTGAGTGTGGCAGTCTTTCAGGACTAATTCGAGTCACACATTTATCTTATCAACTTATCATATTGACAAATCAATGAAAACGACAGGGCTAAGCTAATGTATACTATTCTGCCTTCTCATGGCCCTGATCAACCGGCACACCATCATTAGCCTTGAACCTACCTCTCGTCTTTTCCTTTACCTCCATCTTCTTTCTATTTTTTTTTTGTTTTTTTGCCCCTTCAAACTTTTCGCTCACTCCGTGTTGACGCCGTGAAAGCGGTGGTGAAGCGGCAAATTTTCCCCAAGCTCACACAAATTAACGATCACGCCGGAGAAATTACAGAACGAGAGCATGGCAGCAGAAAGGAACAAAGTGGGACATGGACTATTTTATAAACACAGATAGGCTCGTTGGTGTGTGTGTGTGTGTGCATGAGAGACTTGGTGTTGAACTTAAGAGGGAGCCAAAAACACATTTATTTTCACAACTGACAAATACAGCATTTCTTCAGTTCCCTCGTATCAGACTAGCATACCGCACTGAACCTAAGAATAAATCAAAGTAAAAAAAAAAAACAGTTCCATTGACGGGAAACTGATATCTGATGGCCCTGTTTTCACTTCCCTGTGATTACTGTGAATTTGACGCAGTATTTGGTTTTGTTTAACCTGATACAACAGATTCTGCCTTTTTATTTATTTATTTTTTTTCTTAGAAGCGTCAGGATCACAGAAACCGACCGCCACCATTAGCATTCGTCTAATAGTCGCTCCCTATTTAGACAGTTATCAGTGTATCAGTGTTAAGTAGCATAGGCTTAGTCATAACACTAGCCTTTGACCTGGTTTATATACAGTAGGTCTGCTAAACTATTGTTACCTCGGTGACACACTGAAAACAGCTTCGATTATGTAGCTAAAAAAAAACCAAAAACAAACATGGACATATTTTAGCATCCACTGCGCACGAGTATTATTTCCTTTCAAAAGCCACAAAAGTTCACTTCTTTAAAGTTGTTAAAACTAGCAATGCAGGTGCGACTTCTGTGTGACTGACCTTTTAAACTCTCCTGACTAGGCCTGCCCGATAAATCTTATTTCCATCGTCATCGCTCACAGTAAACACACCACAAAAGCTGGTCTGAAATGTGATACGTTATGTTTACATGTGACGCGCTTTCACACTCAGAATGCTGACATTCAGCCAATCAGATGACACCCAGCTCAGCTAACATTCCTAAAAAAAAAAAAAAGAAAAAAAGAGGGGTAGTCAGAGGAGTGAGGAGAATGAAAATGTTTGTTTTTGTTGAGATTTCTATTTTTCTACTGGATATAATGACGTGTAAATGTATCCGTACAGAAACATACGCTGACAAAATTGACACAATGCAGGTTTGCTGTCATGTGCAACCATGTGCACTGACCCAGCGCTAATCCGTCCAACTTCCTCACCACCTTTTAAGTCTGTATACAAAACGTCAACTGACACGGTTACTCAGACAATGGAAAGCCAGAAAAAACACCCTTGTCACTGTGTGTAATCCAATGAACTTTCACCTTTTGGAAGCCTGATGCTAACGCTATGGAAAACATCACATAACACATCCTGCTACCACTGTACATCTATACAGTTACTGTAGTATACAATTATAAACCCTGCGGTTGCATAACGCTACAAAATGTGTACATGATTATTAAATTTACTTGAGAACTTACTTCACCGCGGAGTGACGCAACATTCTTGGGTAATGTGTTTAAATGACTCCCAACTTCGCTAGCTTCTCTGGGGT